AGAGGGAGAGAGGGAGAGAGGGAGAGAGGGAGAGAGGGAGAGAGAGACAGAGAGACAGAGATAGAGACAGAGAGTGTGCCTTCCACATCAAATCTTTAAACTTCACATCTGACTGCTGAGAAAGCAGCACTCATTCCTTGGAGCTGGGTACCTCACTAGTCTGAATAGTCCTAGAACAACTCTCAGGGGCAGGCAGCAAGCAGTATACTCAATTCACAGGAGGAGGTGCTCAACAATCACAACCTGAGTTGTTACAGGATATTATTCAGTTGCCCTGAATGTTACTGGAGAGTTGTTGTTATTCCCTATTCCACAATAAAGGCTTGAAAACGCTGGCTCTGATATGAAAAATGAGGTGGTGGCAGAAGCAGCCATAGCAGCAGCGGCAGCAGCAGCAAGACAACAGGTCAGCTGAGCAGCTAGAGGAAAGGCAAACTGAGAAAACATCAGGCTGAAATGCTCTTTTCTTCTGGACTGCTACCTGACAGTGATGCCCACAGCTGGAATGGGCTTTCTCACATCAGTCAAGGCAACCAGGACGATGCTTCAGGTGAGGCAGACACAATGGGACCCAACAACACTCCAGCATGAAGAGAGGGCTCCTAAGCCCACCTCTCCCTGAGGCCTTACTGATACTAACAGTAGCTGGAAGAGAGGATACCAACTAGTAAGATGTCCATGATCTAGTAAAGTAAAGATCTAGTAAAGAAAAGCCAAAACAGAAACAACATCTGACATCTTCCAAACATGGCTTCACTGAAACCACAACAGACTGTGATCTGGATATTCATTATTAAATTGCAGGTGCATTTCCTCTAGCAAAATCATTTAGCAAGTATGGTACATTGTATACTATCTAATTTAAAATCTTTTATTAAAGTACTGTCATAAGCATTATGGAAAGGTTCTTTGCACAAACATATTTCTTAACGGTATCCAACAACCACACAACATCCTCCCCCCACCTCTGTCTCTCTCTCTCCGCCCCCCCCCCCACACACACACACGCAGATGGAAATCTGAAGTAAAGCATACCCCTCCTCTCAACACCACTATTGAAAGCTGGCAGATTTTAAGCACTGTACTAAACAGACATTAACACTTCATGTCACTCAGGCCTGACATTCACAGAAAACACACTTAATATGGCTGAACTCATTGTTATAAATGTAAAAAAGGACGTTCGAGATTATTATGAACAAAATCAAGGTGTTATAAAGAAATTTCATTGACATCTGTAACAGATAAATACTCATGTAAAATAAAAATTATTTAGAATGTACTTAGAACTTAGTTGGAGTGTACTATTTAAAACTACAGGCTGGATATGGCAACATCCAGTTATCTGTATTTAAATGTAAAGTATCTCACAGTTACTATGTTACATTACCTTAAGGTGAGCTGATGAAAATTTAGGGGAAAAGAATTGATTCTTGCGAAAGTTATCATCATTGCAAATTCTCATAAGGTCTTAAAAACCACTGCAAAATTTAGTTTTTTTCTTCCAATGCAAGTTATGCTGACAATTTTTATTGGTTTATCAAACTTTATAGTAGAGGAATGTGACTTTATTTTTAATAAATTATCATTTTTGCATATATCACTCAAAGCACAAGGCCAAAATATTTACAAACAAAATGTATTATTAATTTAATTGTCACAGCTAACTTCTATTATATTTTTCTGCAATATGCAAGGGATTAGAGAGTAGAATCAAATTCTCAACATAAGAAACAAACTAATTATATTGTTCTGGAAAAATCAAAATATAACAAGCTTGCAAGATTATTTCCAAAGCAACCATGTTTTAAATAGGTGAGAAAAAGCTTTAACAGAATTGACAAACATTGTTCCCAAACAGAAAGTAAATCAATCCCACCATTTCTATGATGCTTATAAAGCCACACATTCAAAGAGGAGGAACCTTTACAAATGTAAAATAGACTGCATTTATAAATCTTGGTCTCCTCGAACCACAGATGGACAATTTAAAAAATGCATTTATAACTAACTCCAGGAATTCTGATCCATCATTCTACAAAATAATACCAGAAAAATAAAAAAGATGACATCACAAACACATCTGAAGCAACAAAAATTTTAGGAGAAAGAAAAATTCAAAAATATCTACTGTAGACGAATGCTGGCACTAGAAATAGTTAAAAGTACCCATCCAGGCAATCTATCAGCACTTTCACACTACTTGGCAAGGCTACAGTGTCTCACAGGAGAGGAAGTCATGAGATCTTTCTGTCACGGGATGATCTGGAGTGTTCTACAACAGGAAATCTCTTTAAATTTTGGTCACCAACCATGGCAACACTGAGAGGTGGTGGCAGGGCCTATTGGCAGAAGGAGAGTCAGATACCTGGGACAGGAGCCTGATTCTGAAGCCTCAAAGTGTCACACCGCCTCCAACCAGGCCAAATCTGCCAATCCTTCCCAAATAGTTCTACTAATCTGGGACCAAGTATTCAAGCATCTGAGCCTGTGGAGGCCATTCTCATTAAACCACTACATATCTATAGCTTTATTTATACTATAGAGTACATGAGATCATTTTTATTTTGAAAGAGCCATAAATATTTTAGATATTGCTAAAAAGGTTGAGGCCTGAGTACTGTTGGGTAGAAGACTTTAGAATTGTCAAAACATCATGAATGACAGCCAAATGAGTGTAGAAATGTAGAATATATTCTTGGGAGTTTGGAGGGAGGCTGAAAGCCCAGCTCCAACACAGGAACCTAAGAGCATGTCTCCTCACTGAAAGGGAGTCCATGTTTAGAGCTTAAAAGTTGTCAGAAATAGCCATGTTGATGTGGTAGCCGACATTGCAAGAAATCAGTTCAGTTAGAACAATTAAATCTATATGATTAAGTTAATTATTATATATCACTAAGGAAAAGTAAATCTGACAGTTGATGGTACAATAATTGTAGTGTTATTTTTCCTGACATGGCAACTATAATATTATTTGAAGAATGACACAAAATATTTCTGTTTTAATATGAGCAATGCTAAAGTCTATAGGAAGAAGTCACAAATGTTATTTTAAAACTTCAAAATAAACTTATACTAAAGACAACATTTAATTGTCTCCCCTCAATATTTAGTTTTAAACATTTGTTTTAGCATGTACGGAGGGGTTTACAGAGTTCATGTCCCTCTAATTTTAATTCTATAGTTTTGTTTCTGTCACAAAACCTTGAGTGTTTCCAGACTTCATATTTAAAACTACCATATGCCATTATATTTTTCTGAAAAGTTGACATAATAAATGGTGTTCAAGAAGGAAGCTACAACCAGAGGCACAAATTTGGGAAGTTCTTTCATTAAACAAAACTGAAAATAGAAAAACTAAGGATAAATAATGGATAAATGAAAGATTCATTTCACATATGAAATACATAATACAGAAGAATGAAATTTACCTTTCTTTTGGGGTGCCAACTCCATGCTTGCCTAGTAGGTGAGTATTTAAGTGTTTCTTCATTACAAAAGCAACACTAAAAAGAAAAAAAAGAAAAAACAAAAATAAATTATAGAACTATATCTTGACACTTGGCTGGAAAATTGTAGAAAGCATTTAAGAATATTTCTGGTATAGGCATACATTAGCACAACGTAGACATACCCATTAGAACAGTTCTTAGACATTGCTTGCCTCTACTAAAAGTATCCAAAAGATCAAAATAATGTTTGTGGTTCCTTAGTCACTGTCTTCATCATCAGTTGGAAGAAAGAAAAAAAAGTACTATGATATAGTATACACTACCCCATAGACAAACTCACACTTCCATCATGAAATGCATTCAAGAAAATATCATTTTATTACAAATTTAAAGGATTATAAAAAAAGAAAATAAATAGCTCTATGAAGCTTCCTTAAAAACATGGTAGTGATTGAAAGAGAGATTATTTTGAAATGACTTAAAGCTTCCTGTATCTACAGAATGCACACATGCATACTTGCATTTGGTTTTGTGCAGAGAAGATGTCAATATACCTGAAACAAAGAGTATCACCTGATCAGCTATCTTAACTCACAAGCACATCAAGGATAAGCACACTTATGGACTGGAGAACACGCGTGCAGCACACGCATGACTATGCTTGCACATAGCACCACATCAATTATGTGACTCTCAAAGGCACCAGATTTCATTCTGAAACATTAGACAAAATGGCTAATTTGAAAAATGGATAAAAAAAAATTTACTGTTGTAACTTAGAGTGTAAAGGGCTTGCAAACATTTTTGTTAATTATGTATTACAGCTGTCCTTCATAAAGTTAATTACTAATAGCTGAAAGGCAACAGAATCTATTTGCATATGTACATGAAAGGCATGACACATGCAAAAATATGATTTTAATTAGCATTCTATGATATGAAAGGCTACAAATCAAATTGGCATGTTATAAGACTCTTAACATTAAACACTGAATTCATCTGGACATGTTTGCACAAATGGGCAATGTGAAGAATGTTCAGCAATGCAGCCTCTCAGAAGAGATTTGCAACTAAAAGAAAAAGCCAAAGAATCTTACAAAATCTTCATTTTTAAAATATCACCTATTTGTTTATTTTCATATAATATTAGGAAAGTGTGTAGTGAGAAATGTATTTGCATTTTTAAATAATTTTATTCATTACTGAAATAAACTTGCATATACTGAAAACACTATTCATACTGTTTATATAGTAGGCAACAGTGTGACAATAGATGTTTTACACCACGAATAGCTGATCGCATCATCAATCATTATAATGGAAAGATAATAATCACATTTAAAGAATCAAACTGTGATAATATTAAGTGGTGAGCGAAAAAACAACAGCATAAGATGTTCTATATTTGTTTCTGCTTGATTTGGAAAGAATAAATAACATTTTTCATTTCCTGAAAAAAATAATACAGCAATAACAACAGTCCATTTAAGTCGTAACTTTCCTACTGTCCTCCATTTTCCAATAATTAAAAAAACATAAAGCTAATAGCAGAGAGCAAAGGTTAAAAACCCAAAGTTGCACAGCACAGCTTACTCATGTGGCCAAGTACAATTTAAGAGAGTTGAACTCAGGAATCAGAGTGCAGTGTTTTAATAGAAAACCATTTGTTAATTAGAATACTAAGGTTTAAAATAAAAATCAAGCAAAAATATTTCAATTCACAGGAGAATATCCACAACAGGGAGGAAAGTCTTACCCACACATTCTAAGTCTATAAAGGGATTCTACTGTTAAAAACTCAAGAGGCAACTTGTCACTCTTGCAGAATACTGGAGAAAATGGAAATTGTGTATAGTCTAGAACACGAGATTATGTCCAACTGCAAAATATTTCCTCATCCAATTTAAGCTAAATGCCAATTCTTTATATTTGGCTCTTTAAAATATGACTAGTGTGATACTTCTGATATAACTGTGAGTGTAAAAAAAAACACTCAGCTGACCAAAGAGAAAACAACTGGTAGAGATACTCTCCACTCACTGTATTAAGAGACTACTGACTTAATACTTTAACATAATTCATAGATATAACGAAAAACAAAAATATCCTTCCAAGGAACCTAAAATTCCTCACTTCTCAGAAGCAGCATGCTCTTGGCCTGCATGTTACTTTTCATTGACTGTGTGTCAGGTATAAGGTAAGTTCTGTACAAAACCAAAACCAAATAACAATAGCATTCCGGGAAGTTTCCTCTTCTACCCAGAACACAAGACTAGGGACAGTGGCACAGCCCATCGGATGGCTGTGCAGTCCTTCCCCCTTTGGAATCTATCACCACATCCCAACAGCACGGAGGAGGAGGAGGAGGAGGAGGAGGAGGAGGAGGAGGAGGAGGAGGAGCCGCCACAGGGCTAGGGCGGCATGAGGGCATGGGGCAGAGCACAACAGGCAGGCAAGAGATACGACACCAGGTATAGACCATAAAGGCTTTACTCTGGGAACAGCCACTATAGGCACCGAAACAGATCACTTACCTGGCTCACATTTAACAAAAGTGAAATCACTCTATCTCTATCTCTGCACCATGCGTGAGTGCATGTGTGCGTGCATGCTTGTTGGCACATGCTTGCCACAGACTAAATAAAGAAAACATAATTATTTTTAAAATTTGATTACCTAACTGATTTTAACTGATTTGCACATGATAAACCAGCCTGCCTCCATCTTGGTTTTAAACGTCATCTTATAGTAAAGACAAACTAGGTTCATTCCTGTTTATAACTCAACCTCAGTTTTTCAAGGATGGGGTTATGTCCCGCCTGTACCTTAACTACAAATAGTTCTGCACTGCCTGTCCCAAGAAACTGCAATCATATCTTTGCTTCAAACATTTGTGACAACTACCTTGCAAGCCTACCTTTGCTCAAAAAGGTTGTTATGACTACTATCTTATAACCACTTCTGTTTCAGGAGGTCGGTGTAACTAACTTATTACACTTATTACACTTACATTCTGATTCTAGAACAGTGCCTATTTTACACACCAAATCCCCTATTTGGAAACTCCACAGCTTCAAAAACCTGTGCCTCACATCCAATGCTGAGCTCTTGAACCCCACCTTGGGAGCTGGAAGCCAGTGTACACAAATTACAAAGCTTGCTTTAATTCATTTGGCCATGATAGTTTAGATGGTCTTTCTCCTGGAGTCTTTGGGATTAACACAAGTGCCTGAAACTGTATCACTTAAAATGGGTTCGGATGTTAAAAGGACATGGCAGTGCTAACATTTACATTCTAGTTTTCAAGAAATAATTCTTTTTTTTACTTTCAGTTCAAAATAGTTTTTCTACACTATAGATTATGGAAGCATCCCTTCTTTAAGTCCTTTGAGTTTTAATAGTGTAACATTCTTTCCATTTCATTGTCATGAATGGTAATCTGCCATATGAAAGTAAGTTCAGCATAATAAGCAGAGAGAGATGTGAGAAGCAACAAAAATTCAGTGGTACCTTGCCTGCCTCTCTAACTCATACCCATGTGTAAGGCAGGGTGCTGAGACACTGGGGCCATGAGCCAGATCTAACCCTGGGGCTACTTACGCTCTGCTGCAGACAGACTGCACTGACAACAACATATGCTCCTGAGGGCTGGCTGCCTTCGTTTCTATTCTCTCTGTGGGACTATCACTTTGAACTCTCCCACTTACATAATTCTTACAATTTCTCCTATGTAAGTATTAATTGGGCTGAGCATTACCTAAATCACAAGTTCAAATTTGAGCACAGTCTTCTGAAGGGTATGGACAATTTTGGGGAAGAAGTCACCACAAGCCACACTTGACAAAAAGACAAGTTATGAAGCACCTGATCTTGTTGGTTCAAAGATAGCATGTGACAAACATTGAAACACAGCACCCTGATGCTCGCTCACATCACCAAACCACACACCACACTGACATCCTACTGAGACACCAGCACTCAACTATCTAGGTATCCTACAGTTCCCACACAGTTGCACAGAGGAAAAGTCACAGTCAGTAAAGAGATGGGTGAACCAAAAATCAAATTATTAACATTTTACATCTCTACTAAAGTAAAAGGTCACCAAAAAGACAGCAGGCCATGAGACTAGTTGGCAAAGGCTAATGACTTAATATAAGAAAGTGATTACAACCATAAAAATGTGTGGAACTACTTCAGGTTAATGTGAACTCCTTCTATTATACTAGCCAGAGTAATGTTAGCTCTTTAAGTAAAACATACACGCCTAAAGGAAACATGGAGAACATTTGCACAATGGAGTACTATTCAGCTATTAAAAACAATGTCTTCATGAAATTCTTAGGCAAATGAATGGAACTTGAAAATATCATCCTGAGTGAGGTAATTCAGTCACAAAAGAACACACACAGTATACAGTCACTAGTAAGTGGATATTAGCCCAAACGTTCACAATAACCAAGATTCAATTCACAAGCCATATGAAGCCCAAAAAGAAGGAAGGTATTGCCAGAGCCTGACAAATACAGAGGCGGATGCTCGGAGCCAACTACTGAACTGAGTGTGGGGTCCCTGATGGAGGAGTTAGAGAAGGGACTGAAGGAACTGAGGGGGTCTGCAGACCCATGGGGGGACCAACAGTATCAACTGGTCAAGGCCCCCTGGAGTTCCCAGGAACTTGACCACCAACTAATGAGTACACATGGAGGAACCCATGGCTCCAGCCGCGTATGTGGCAGAACCCACAGCCTTGTTGGATGTCAGTGAGAGAAGTGGCCCTTGGGCCTGAGAGTGTTCTATGCCCCAGTGTAGGGGAATGCCAGGGAGGAAGGGAGGCAGCCTGGGGAAGTCCAGTAGGAGAACAGAAGGCCAATCCTGGCTCTGTCATTTAGTACAGGATAAAGTTGATGATGCTATGTGCCTTCTCCAATTCTTAATGACCTCAGGCAAATGAAGTCTCTCCAGGAAGGAGAGCTATGATAAAGGGAAAGTCCTGTAAGTCCTGGCATCCTGAGGACAGGATGGCAGTACAATATCTGAAGCCTGGTGTTAGC